GTTCAGCAGAAGAATTACTGGTAGAGTTTATCCAGCTACTGGGCTGTCGGAAAAGTCATGCACATTTTTGCACAGAAAATCTACGTCATGACTTTTCCGGCAACCCAATACAACATGCTGGAAACAAAGCAGTATTCCACAGAGAACAAAAAGTCATGCAGTTGCGTTCTGGACAGCTCGGCCCAAGCCTGAGTGCAGGGCTGCCGGCCCACTGACCGTGAGAGGGGTGTTTACACCCTCCGTGCTCTCGCGGCTGGTTCCGTCCACATGTGAGCACCTACGAAATGACCGTCCTCAGTGCTTGACAGAACTCCGCCGTACTTCTCCCTCGGGTCTCACTCCGTGACTTTCTCTGGGGCCGTGTGGTCTTTGGGTGAGTGGGAGCTCTGAAGGAAATTCCTCAGCAGGCCCCCCTCTGGAAACGGTGCAGAAATCTGGGGTGCATGTCCCCTGCCCCATCATCGGATGGTCCAGGAGGATGTACCTGGCCCTCGGGCTGAGGCAGAATCAGCACTTTACCTGACGCCTTGTTGCTAGCAGTGAGAAATAATTGAAAGTCAGCGGTGACTCTGGGCTAGCTGGTGGCATGGTGGTCGGCAGCTGGGTGCTGCTTGACCGACTGCCTGGGTTACGTCCCAGACGGGCTGGGCGTGTGCGCGCATGCCCAAATTCCCCGACAGGCGGGAGAGATGAGGAGGGATCTGCGGCATGACCGCCCCCCGCGGGGTGGGGGTGCTTTCTCACTTCCCCCATCTCCCTGTCTCTCCTTAGCCAGTGTGTGTGCTTTCTGGCAAAATTTCTAAAAAAACCAGCGGTAACAGAAATGAGTAGCCGAGAAAGCTGAGTGTTTGTTTTAGTTTAATAAAGACTGCTTAGGCATCAAGGAAAGTGTGGTAAGAGACAAAGTGGCCAACAGTGGGGAGAGAGGACGGTGGAGACGCACCATGAGTAGCAAGTGTGTGTTCACCGTGAGACCTAAACGTGGGTGCCGGAGGGGAAGCGGGAGATCTGGGTCTTCAGGTGCTTCGTCAGCCTGGATCCCATCACCTCTGTCCTCCCATGCTCCCTCCCGGTCTCAGGCCCTCCCCACGCACACATGCACCCCAGCATGCGCAGCGTCCCCCAGGCCCTCCTTCGGAGCCCTCCCCATGCACACCCGCACCCCAGCATGTGCAGCCTCTGCCAGGCCCCCCTTTGCAGCCCTCTCCACGCACACCCGCACCCCGGCACACGCAGCCTCTGCCAGGCCCCCTGGTTGCAGCTATGGCTCCCAAGGCCCTGCCCGCCTCAACCCCAGTGACCTCTCCACTAGAGTCAGTGAGACGTTGGTGCCTGTGGTTGCTTATTTGTTTATAGCTGACAGAAGGCCTGTGTGCGCAGACAGCGGGAGGGCACAGACAGGCATCACGAAGTGGGGTGGCAGTTAGCAGCTGCGACACGGAGTGTGGCGCCTGAGCTCGGCCCTGTCAGACAGCCGCCCTCCAGCTGATTCGGAGACTAGACCCACTGTATCGTCGCGCAGAGTAGAATTCAGGGCAAGAAAAATACTGAAGTGAACGAAGGGTCATTTTGTGTTATTGAAAGTATTCTAGGGCCAGCCGCTGGCATGGCAGTTAAGGTGGCTGGATCCCACATGGCCAACTATACGGTTCGAGCCCCAAACCTGGCAACATGAAAATACACATAGAGGGGACCAGCAGGTGGTGTGGTGGTTAAGGCACTGGACATTCCCACATGGCTGACCACGGTTCGAGTGCTGGATCCGGCAGTTTGCCTTCTCACTTTCTCTCTCTCTCTCTCTCTGTGTCTCTCTCTCTGGTCAAATTAAAATGAAATAAATGAATAAATAAAATTAAATTAAAATAATTCTTAAAAAAGACAACAAATATGATTTTTAAAAAATACACATAGAGCACACATGTGTGTGAGCACCCACAATCTCGAAAGGAGATGCACAGGAGAGGGGGGTGTGGCATGGCCACCCCCCAGGAGGTGCGCTCGCTCGCTCTCTCTCTCTTTCTCCAGCAAGTGCACACATCCTATAGCAAGCGAAAAAATATATATCCCATACATTCCCAAAAATAACACTTTTGAAAAGTTTTAAAATGAAGTTATTCATTAATACATTTTCAGTGTTTCTAGAAAGTGCAAACATGGCTAGGCCCCCTCTTGAGTCATAGGTTCTGACTGGGCCCAGCTTTGTCTTCTTCCTCTCTCCCGACAAACACAGCCGTAATGCGCCTCCTGACTTTTGCAAAGACTGATGCAAATCCTTATGGATTATTTTATTTTGCAATTCCTATCGCTTATTATTTGCACTTCCTTATTCCTTATTCCTTATTCCGCAGCCCTTTGGTTCTCACAGGCAGCTCTTTCTTGTCTTTAATTGCCAGAGGGTGTGCACTGTTGCCAGAGGGACAGAGACAGAGAGGGAGGGAGAAATCACTGCCCAGTTGTAGGGAGTGGCCTAAATCTGAGCATACCTCGTGACCTTCAGACACATGTAGACATGCGGTTTTTATGTCAGTCATATGTAAAGTAATAAACACCGTTAACATGTGACTATGCTAGCTGTCTGTGTTTGAAAATGTAAGGCAGCCTTTCTATGGCCGGAACCGCCGTCTTCCAGTAATTCACCAAAATGACGAGCACAGAGGGAACGAGGAGAGGCACCCGATGTATGTTCTCTAGGCCTTTTAGAAAACGTGGAGTGGTACTTTGGCAACATACATGCGAGTCTACAAGAAAGGTGATATTGTAGACATCAAGGGAATGGGGACTGTTCAAAAGGAATGCCCCACAGATGTTACCACGGCAAAACTGGAAGAGTCTACAGTGTTACCCAGCATGCTGTTGGCATTGTTGTGAACAAACAAGGGCAAGAGTCTTGCCAAGAGAATCAATGTGCGTATTGAGCACATTAAACATTCTAAGAGCAGAGATAGCTTCCTAAAACGGGTGAAGGAAAATGACCAGAAAAAGGAGGAAGCCGAAGAGAAAGGGACCTGGGTTCAACTGAAGCGCCAGCCTGCTACCGGAGGCGCCGCCCTGCCCCCCCAAGAAAAGCCACTGTGTGAGAACCCCAGGAAAGGAGCCTGAGCTTCTGGAACCTGTTCCCTATGGATTAATGACATGATGGGTGTTAAAAATAAACTAGTCTGTGGTCTATTAAAGAAATGTAAGGTAGTATTTGATTAAAAGAAGCCACATGTGGTAATTAAAATATGTCCGAAAAGATTTTAAAAACATGTATTGAATTACATGGCACAAGGTGTCTGTACATCTTTAGCTGATTAACAACTGAAAACAACTGGCTTTGGGAACCAGCAGTTAGTGTTATGGCTATGTCGCTGGACTCCCACGTAGTCGACCGCGGTTCGTGTCCCGGACCTGGTGGCTTAAAACTCATGCCGGGTGCATGTGCGTGTGTGCCCAAGATCCCGAGAGGAGAATGGAGGAGAAGGGATTGCGGCGTGACCATCCCCCCTGGGGGATGATTTCTCGCTTTCTGTCTCTAATGTCTCTCTCTGTCTGTCTGGCGAACGCACGCGCCCTTTAGCGAAAAACCTCTTTAAAAAAAAAAAACTGGCTTTGTATTTTAGTCCCACTTCCATTTTCTGTCCTTTAAAAAATAAATAAAGGGGCCAGCAGGTGGCATGGTGGTTAAGGGCTCTGAACTTCCACATGGCCGACTGTGGTTCAAGTCTTGGGCCTGGCAGCCTGCTTTCTGACTTTCCCTCTCTCTCTCTCTCTGTCCCTCTCTGGTCAAATTTAAATAAATAAATAAATACTAAAGTTAAATAAAATAATTATTAAAAAAGAAAGCATGGAAACAGTGCTAGGCCACGGCCACCTCTCATAAAAACAGTTCGGGGCCGTGACGCCTCCACCAGAGGAGTCAGGACCACCTGACCCCTACTTTTCTTTATTGTATTTCTTTGTGTCTTTATTTCTGCTTATCCTCTCACCCACAGCCCCACCCCCCAAAAACACACATTCGTGTAGCCGTGAGGGACACGGCCCCAGAGGGGTGTGGCCATGCCGTAGTCCCTTCTCTCACTTTTCTCCATCCTGTCAGGATTTGGGGCACAATGTGTTTTTCTTTTTTTTTTTTTTTTTAAAGGGAAATTTTTGCTATAGCTTGCTGGAGAGACAGAGAGACAGAAAGTGAGAAATCACCCCTCGAGGAGGATGACCACACCACAATTTCTTCTCCTCCATTCTCCTCTCAGGATCTTTGGCATTCATGCACATGCGCCCGGTGTGAGTTAAGCTGCTGGATCCGGGACTCGAACCGTGGTCAACTACATGGAAGTCCAGGGACATAACCATTACGCCACCGGCTGTTCCCTTTTAGAGATTTTTTGCCTTAGGGCGTGTGCACTCACTGGAGAGACAGACAGAGACAGAAGGAAAATGAGAAACAATCCCCCAGGGGGATGGACATACCACAATTCCTTCTCCTCCATTCTCGTTCCCAGATCTTGGGCACACACACACACACACACGCCTGGTGT